TGTGTGTGTGTGAGAGAGAGAGAGAGACAGAGAGACAGAGAAAGGAAAAACACACTAACATCACAACCAACCAAGGACGCAGGGCTGGCAGGTTTAATCTGGGAAGTGAAGCTTGCCCCCTGGTGGTCACTGACTTCCCGCCCAGGCAGCAGCTCTCCCTCCCTTCCTCCCTCCCTCCTTATTTCCACCCCCTCCAGAGGGCGGTCACCGGTGGACCTAGTCTTTTTGACTTTCAGTTACTTTTTAAATGATACAATTGAACTCCTACCTGTTGTCGAAAATTCAGAAACCTGCGGAGAAGATGCTCCAGCCTTCCCCATCTCTGCAGATTCCTTTAGACCCTCCCCAGTGGGGCCATCGGAGGTCAGTGGTCCTCAGTTCAGGACCACCATGACCCTTGTCTGCCGAGGCCTCTGCCTACTCCGTCTCGATTTCCCGCCCCTTCAGTTCTGTCGGGGTCCCCCCAACACTCCCCCTCCCCCCAGCCAACTCTGGCTGATACATCTTTTGTGTGTGTGTGTGTGTGTGTGTGTGTGTGTGTGTGTGTGTGTTGCTGTGGGGAGGTGGTTTGCAAAGCCTGGGCCATTGTTGGGCATAGACACACTCTAAACAGCTGCTCACTCGCCTGTTCACTCAGCACTGCCTTTTCCTCCTGGTACGTCTCCAGCTCCTGCTGTGTGGTTCTTGCCCTCTCCCCCCATTGTGGAGTGCCCTAGCAGGTCACCCTCCCTCCAGGGCACAGAGTGTTTGAACTGCCAGCCCTTCCATGAGCACGTCACCTGGTGCCACCAAGGGTTCCTGTGCCCTCAAAGGTGATGTGCTAATGCATCGACTTTTCAGCTGTGAAGCATCTCAGTGTGTTGCTTTTGCAAACACATGAAATGCTGTCAGCCTAATCCTCAGGCAGAGTACAGGCGTAGCATTATTTTTCAACACCAGTTCTCTGTTGTTCATTCAATAGCTTGGTTATTTCCAAGGCTACAGTGTTACCAATGGTGTTACATGTTCAGAATCGATGGGCCAAAAAGATGCAGGCATTTCCAAAGAATTCCACAAGAATTGCTAGGTGTTGGATGGCTAAAATTTGGAGCTGGTCCCCTGGAGTGGAGGGGCGTTGGAGTGGGGAATGGTGGGTGTGGTTCGGTGGGGCCCCTGCTGGCCTGCGACCCAGAGACTCGGGTTCTAGCATAGGTCTGAGCAGTTGCCTGGTCTCTCTGAGTCAGAAACCTCCCCTGTAAGGTGAAGGCTTTAGACTGGCAAGAAGGATGGATTAAGAATTGTTTCCACCACGCTGCTCCCCAGGCTGGCGGGCTGCTACCAAGCTCTGGACGGAGGCAACACTGCGGACGCCCTGGTAGACTTCACAGGGGGCGTTTCTGAGCCCATCGACCTGACCGAGGGGGACCTGGCCACTGACGAGGCCAAGAGGAACCAGCTCTTTGAGCGTGTGCTGAAGGTGCACAGCCGGGGGGGCCTCATCAGTGCCTCCATCAAGGTGCGCACCCCGAGCTGGCCCGCAGGGGCATTTTCCCTGTCCCCAGCCTGCACGTGCCAGGCTGAGTCCCAGCCGAGGCGCATAAAGCCAGACACCGGGCCCCTGCCAATGCCCCTCCCCCCTGCTTTTCCAGCCCTCTCATACTGGGGTGATGGGTGTCTGTGGGTCCCTCAGTCAAGGTGTGAGCCTTTGGAAGCCCATGGGCAGTCAGGAGAGGGAACAGAACCCCTGCTGCCGGCTGGCCCGGGACCCACGGCTTCATTTATGACTGTGTGGGGGATGAGAAGGATGGGGCTCAGTGAAGGCAGAGTTGGAAGCCAGGCCTGACTGGCCCTGTGGTGTGCCGACAGACCAGCTGTCGGGTGGGGAAGCCCCCGGGTACAGCAGGTACTGAGTCCTGTGGTATACGCCCTGGTGGGTGGTGCATTGAGCTACTGACCACAGGGAGGGCGGTTTGAAGCCATCGTCCTGGGAGAACGCCGAAGCCGTCTGCTGTGGTACAGATTTAAAGCTGCGGAAACCCACAGGGGAGGTTCTGCTCCGTCCTGAGTGAGGTGCTATGACTTGATGGCAGTGAGGTGGTGTGTTGTTTTGTTTTCTGGTGATACAAGGGCTTCCACCACTGCTGATTCTCAGCTGCCAAACCTGCTCGAAAAATGCCTGAATTTTACCAAGTGATGCAGCCAGGGCCAGCCAGCCCCAGCACACCATTGGGCCTACCGACCTGCTTCCTGGACCTCAGAGAGACCCAAGGCCTCTCTTTGGTGCAGGGCTGCAGGTCCCTGGACCCTGTGCTGTAGGGAGAAGTGTTGCCCACAGCTCCCCCACCTCCCCCTGCGTTGGGTTCCACCCGGCCGAACCCTGCCTGTGTCCCCCTGGCAGGCAGTGACAGCGGCTGACATGGAGGCCCGCCTGGCCTGCGGCCTGGTGAAGGGCCACGCGTATGCCATCACCGACGTGCGCAAGGTTCGCCTGGGCCACGGCCTGCTGGCCTTCTTCAAGTCGGAGAAGCTGGACATGATCCGCCTGCGTAACCCGTGGGGCGAGAGGGAGTGGACCGGGCCCTGGAGTGACACGTGAGTCCCGGCTCTGGGCAAGCTGGGCCCGTGCTCCCTGGGTGGCCTTGTTCAGGGGAGGCAGGCTTCCTGCAGGAAGTGGCCCCTCCCAGAGCTGCGTCCTGAAGGATTTGGCGGGGAGGCCGGCCACAGGAAGAAAGGTGGGAGACTTCTCCGGAGCAGGTGTATGGGCCACGGATTCGGCGTGGGTGGAAGGTTGAGGTGGGTTGACTTCACTCCTGCGGGGACATGAAGAGAGGGGTACGTGTATGGAATGAAATAGAACCCCTTCTGCAGGCTGGCCCAGGCCCAGGGCTCCATTATGCTCTGTGCTCAGCTCATGACCGGGTGAGGTTCGAGACAGAAGCCCAGGTCTTCTGTCCTAGGAGAGGAGCCATGTCCCTTTCCCCCCTGCTGACATGGGGCTTCTCTGAGGGGTGGGTGCCCCAAACTACACAGATGGAGGCCTGGGCCTAGCTGCCCCTGGCGCCTCCTCACCCTGGCCCGGGTGGTGCTGGCAGAGCCCTTCCTCTCACCGCCCTCCCCCCACCAGCTCCGAGGAGTGGCAGAAAGTGAGCAAGAGCGAGCGGGAGAAGATGGGTGTGACCGTGCAGGACGACGGCGAGTTCTGGTGAGTGAGCAGCCCGCTCGCTGTGCATCTCGGGCTAAGGGAGGAGAAGCCCCCAGTCTGGAAGCCCCTCGCCAGCATTCAGGACAGTCTGGCTGGCAGGCAGTGCCAGATGCCAGAGGTGGGACCCAGAGCCCTAGCAATGCACCGTCACCAACTTGCTGTGTGTCCTTGAACAAGGTACACCATGTCTCTGAGCCTCAGTTCCCTGCTCCGAAAGGGGAGTTGGGCAGGAATGGACTCTCAGCCTCTCACCCTCGGGGAAGCCAGGATGCTGGTAGGCAGGGAGGGGCCCGAGGGTAGGGGTCATCGTGGCAGCCTCATGCCCGATTAGGAGGGTCCCTGAGGGAGACTCCTGGGTGGGCAAGAAGAGGAACCTGGCCCTGAGGAGAGAGTGCATGTGTGAGCTTGGAAGGGAAAACCTCAGTGGGTACATGGATGGGGTGGGCTCAGACGTGGGCAGAGCCTAGCTTGAAGCACCTGCCCATCATGTGGCCTCCATTGGTGCATCCCTTGTTGGTCCTCAGCAGCAGACGACACGGTGACTCCCGGAGGGTCAGGGGCATCCTCTGTCTGGTGGCAGTGATCCTGGCCCTCCCAGAGGTGGCAGGGGAGCCACCTCAGGGTGTCACAGAGCCTGCTGGCTCTGGGCTCCTGTGAGCAGCATCCTCTTGTCCAGTTGGTTCAAGGGTTCATTGGGTTAAAACGGTCATACTCCTCATCTCCTATATTCTCAACACACAACAACAGATAGGATTAAAATCAGCAGGGCCTTCCTCTGTGGAAACGGCCTTCCGGAGGCCTCTCTCACAGGCTTGCACATGACCGGCTCCTCCCTCCGCCCATGCTCCAGGACATGTGAGCCTTGCAGGGACCCAAGTGACCCCCTGGCCTGAGGAGGCGGGACACCTACCAAGGGGCTCACCACCACTGTGGGAGATAGTGGACAGCGATGCGCGCCATGCAGCTGTTGTTCATACAGCCTCAGAGCCCTGGTGGTGCAGTGGCTACGTTTGAGGCTTCTGTCCGGAAGGTCAGCAGTTTGAAACCACCAGCCGTTCTGCGAGATAAAGACGAGGCTCTCTACTCCCGTTGAGCATTACAGTCTCAGGCACCTTCCATGCCACCCTGCAGGGCCGCCGTGGGTCGGTTTTGACTCCATGGCAGTGCGAGCAGCCAGCCTATGCCAGGTGCTTCCTGTGGGAAGTTGTATTACAGCTGCTGCTGCTGCAGTTTCTGATTCGGCCACTGTGAGACACAGCCATTTGGCAGAGGAGGAGGAGACCAGACCGGAGGACGGTCTCGGGCCCACGTGTGAGCCATGGTGCAGGGCGTGCAGTAGGGGTGACAGCGGGGCTGGGCACCCTGCTCCACTCGGCTCCTTCCCTCGGCTAGGATGACCTTCGAGGACATGTGCCGGTATTTCACCGACATCATCAAGTGCCGCCTGATCAACACGTCGTACCTGAGCATCCACAAGACGTGGGAGGAGGTGCAGCTGCGGGGCGCCTGGACGCAGCACGAGGACCCTCAGCTGAACCGCAGCGGGGGCTGCATCAACCACAAGGACACCTTCTTCCAGAACCCACAGGTGGGCTCACACCTGTGACCTGCCTCCCTTGCGGAGCATCTGTGCAGTGGGCGTGGTGCGGGTGTCTGTCCCCCCCCTGCGTGGTCATAGGGCCACCTAACCCTGCGATCTGACCTGCAGGTGGGGAAACTGAGGCTGAAGGGGACTAAGGAGTGTCTTAGCCAGAAGCACGTGTCATTGAGAAGCTGGGTTGGTGTGTCAGTCTGGGTGGACTGGAGAAACAAATCCGGAGTCATTCATATGTGTGTAGGAGAGAACTTTATATCAAAGAGCAGTTGTACATTAAGAAAACATTCCAGCCCAGTCCAGATCAAGTCCACAAGTCCGATAGTACCCCAGATGTCGATACTAGTCCATACATTTATCTTTAGATTCACACAGCCATGCAGTGATGCTGAATACGGGAAGATCACAGGCTAGTGGGTGGAAAGTCTTGTGGATCCAGTGGTGGTGGAAGCATCTCAGCGCTGGCATGGGTTTCCATGTGGCCCCTCCAGTTCCAGGGCTCTGGCTGCATCAATGTAGCTCCATGTGGCTTGTCAGCAGGAAGACAAGGAGAGAATGTCTTCTGCCTCCAGGGCGGAATAGAGGAAGACAGGAGTTCCGAGAATCCTCAGGAGAAGGCCATGCCCACACAGAGGTCTCATGGGCTATGACCTGATTGACAGGCTAGACTCCACCCCTTTTCAAGTTGACAGGAGATATGTCACTGTCTCAGTTGGGGACCTGCACCCCATTGTTCCACATTACCCCAGTCCTGCTTTTTAACCTGGGGATCTGGGCCCAACTGGGCTCCCCCACCGGGACTCCTCCCCTGTGGCTTCCCAGGACATGAGCAGTGACAACTCCTGAGGCCCCAGCCTGAGTTGGAGGGAAGGCTGGGGTGGCCTTGTTGAGCTCACCGGAGTCTGAGCTCACGCAGGGACAGAGTTGTCAGCCCGCAGCGGGGCAGGGCTCGAGGGACGGACGTGGCTCCTGGGGTGGGGCCGGCAGTGGTAGGTGTGAGCTCACAGACTCGTGTCTGCTTCCCACAACCACAGTACGTCTTTGACGTCAAGAAGCCCGAGGATGAGGTGCTGATCTGCATCCAGCAGCAGCCGAAGCGGTCCACCCGCCGGGAGGGCAAGGGCGAGAACCTGGCCATCGGCTTCGACATCTACAAGGTGAGGCCGGTGGGGAAGGGCCCGGGCCCTGCGGGGACACCCTGGAGCAGGGATGCAGGCCTCCTGAGAAATTCTCCATCTACACCGGCGAACGAACGTCACGCACCTCACCAGAGAGAAGCAGCTTCAGCCATCACATGGGGCGTGGGTTCACTCAACATCTGACCAAACACAGCAGGTTAATTTTGTTTTTTAATCATTTTATTGGGGGCTCGTACAACTCTCATCACAATCCATACATACAGCCATTGTATGTTAAGCACATTGATACATTTGTTGCCCTCATCATTCTCAAAACATTTGCTTTCTACGTAAGACCTTGGTAACAGCTCATTTTCCCCCTCCCTCCCCACTCCCCACTCACGAACCCTTGATCATTTATAAATTATTATTTTGTCACATCTTACACTGTCTGACATCTCCTTTCACCCACTTTCCTGTTGTCTGTCCCTCAGGGAGGAGGTTATATGTAGATCCTTCTAATCGGTTCCCCCTTTCCACCCTACCCTTCCCTGTGTTTCCAGTTCCTATCTGTACCAGTGTACATCCTCTGGTCTAGCCAGATTTGTATGGTAGAATTGGGATCATGATAGTGGGGGTGATGGTGGGGAGTAAGCATTAAAGAACCGGAGGAAAGTTGTATGTTTCATTGTTGCTATACTGCACCCTGACTGGCAGGGTATGTCCAGTTGCCTACAGATGGGCTTTGGGTCCCCAATCGGCACTCCCCCTCAGTCACAATGATATGATTTTTGTTCTTTGATGCAGGTTAATTTTTAAGTTGGCCATTTTCTATGTGACCCACGAATGCTGTTAAAAGTATCCAAATGGCCCTTGACAGTAAAGTGCCATACCCCTATTCTAGAGCATCCTGGTCACCCTGCACTCTGTGCCCCTGCTGAAGCTGTGAGATGCTGGGGTGCCCATGGAGGAGCTCACTGTTTGCCTTCTGCGTGCCTTCTTTCTGCCCCCCCCCA